GTAACAAGATTACAAATACTGTGATAAAAGCTGCTTTTATCAAGACGTTTTCTCAACTGAGGAGTACATACCTCACTGTAGGAGCCGTGGTCAGAATTCTTACTGGAAGGTGAGATTGCATTTCAGCAATAAACCAAACCCTACTGCATCACCTGAGAGGGGACAGAGCAGCAGAGGGGACAGAACACGAGCAGTGGCATCTGAAACCTCAACTGGATCCCCAGCTCCACCACATACTGTGTCATCACTGCTACTGATCGAAGCAGCCTGGTGCTTCTCATGCTTTCACAGGCCTTCCACCCACCTATGGATGGTGTTAGAATGCAGAATCTGATTCAGTGAGTGCTGGCATGGGGCCTGAGGTTCTGCATTTCTGACGAGCTCCCAGGTGACACCTATGCTGCTAGACTGTGGACCACACATGGAGAAGGAGGCTCTAGAATCCACGGGAGCCACTGTCTCTTCACTGAAAGCCAATCCTTTGTAAGTTTTCCCTACGTGGAACAGTATTTTCCCTATTGGATCATGAGCATATCAAGTGACATCGTCACTGCCTTAATGATCCCTATTAGTTGAAAATGTTTCCCGAGTCACTTTATAATAAATGGTATCACTTACTCCTTGACCACAGGGTATTTATGGTAACCTACTTCAAGTAATGCTACATGTGATAAAAGAGATCCGGCACTGCCCTATGCAAAGAGCAGACAGCAAGGCGGTTTGGAAGCCCACCAAGAAGCAATACTCTTGTCTCTGTCCAAGAGAAGCCAAGATTTTACCACAGGGCTGAAGTCTGGGTGGCCCTTTGGGTTTCCAGTCTACATCAGAAGCACACACCGAAAAATAACTTTATGATAATTAGCCTCCACGACATGCTTTAAAGGGAGGCATTATTAGACCCATATTAGAGGTGGAGAAACTATAGACATGGGGAAGTTATTTTCCCACCCAAGGCCACCCAAAGTGTCAAGGATGAAAATGAGGTCAAGAACCAAAACCTATGGTTCATCAGTCCTCATTCTAAGCCGTGAGACATTTTCTATGAAGAATGCTTATGCTCTGGTTTAGAAGTCTGTATTAAAAGTGAGGGATAGAAGAGCACAAAAGAGCTCTAGATAAAATATTTTGTTATTTGTCGCAATTTGTGACGATTTTGAATTTATTCATTGCCAAAAGCTTTTTTCACAGTCCTCATTTCTTGTTTGTCTTTCATTATTATGCCTGTGCCCATGTGACTTAGACACATTATTTAACCTCTGTGTCCCCCTTTCCTCACCTGTGAAAAATTGGAGCTCAAAGAGGATGAGATGAGATAATGCACGCAGGGAACGTTAGCAGTCTGGCATGTGGTAGGCATTATGTAATTGTTAGTTATTCCTACACAGCACAATACATGTCCTCAATCATAATGCAGGTTGACCCCTGGCAGGAGCCATGAGCTGCTCTACTTTGTTCTCCTTGAGGCCAGAGTGGTGCTGAACTTAGATCA